ACTGCTGCTGCACACTCTGCTAGGGGGTTTATCCCCAAACACTAACAGTTTTTACTTCTGAAGAGGATGAAGGATAAAAGTTGCTTGCTATATGTTGTGCCAAGTAATTCGAGAAATGCAACTTTGGTTTAATTTTTTTAAAAATGTTATTTACTCAGTTTTCCCCCTTTCTTCTAAAGGTGCTCTGACAGAATGCTATGATGAACTGGGAAACAGATACCAGCTTCCTGTCTACTGCCTTGCCCCACCCATCAACATGATAGAAGAGAAGGGTGACCTAGAGACTCTGGATTTTCCAGATCCACCGCCTAACTCCGGTCATGAATGCCAGCTTCGTTTACGTCTCTCAACAGGCAAAGACCTCAAACTTGTGGTCCGCAGTATGGACACTGTGTATCACATGAAGAGGCGACTACACACAGTGGAAGGCGTAGAACCTAGAAGTCAGCGATGGTTTTTTTCAGGCCGGCCACTCGCAGACAAAATGAAACTGGAGGAACTGAAAATACCAAGGGATTATGTGGTACAAGTAATTGTGAGCCAGCCCTTAACAAATCCTGTCTTGGTGGAGAACTGATTTTTGCCTATATGCCTCTTCTTTCTTTTCCCTGCTCTTCTATCATGTGGGGACTTTTTCACTTTCCATTCTCTCCTGCAAATGGTTTGGTTCCAAGCAAAGGCCAGCAAACACTCCATCTGTGATGGAATTTAGGTAAAAACATACATGAGCAAATATATGCACACACAAACCTTACGTATAAACACACAGTCCCTGTTCCTAAATTATCCTTGGAGGCTTTGTTCAATTTAGTATTTCTTGACACCACTCTTAACAAAGTAAATGGAAAAATGCTTGCGATAGAATGAGCCTGAAATTCAAGGTTGGTAATGCTAAAACTGTGCTTTGAACTGTAAGTGATGTATTGATCCATGAAGGTGAAAAGCACTTTTTAAAGGATTAAACCAAATGGAACTGTTTCATGAAATCAGTGTCACTTATAGTTCAGCTGATCATTGTAGCTCCCCTGGCTAATCTAGCATGCTGTGATAGTTGTAGGGGTTCTTTCTATTAGGGTTTTATTTACTGGCTCAATAAGACTCCTGCTTAATTGCAAGTAGCAAAGAACTAGAGGTACACTCCAATAATGGTATATTCTCAAATTCAGGTTTTACTACATTTTGGTACATTCCAATTTAGCAACAATTTGCTAGGGCTGACTTCAGGGTGTATAAATACTGCCATCTGACAAATTAGGCAATAATTTATTAAATACATAATTTCTTGTCTACTGTAAGCTGTCCACTATAAGGAAACTTGCTGTACAAATCTCTGTCACCAATAAAAGGGCCTACCAATAATTCTACACTATTATGATAGATGAAAAATCAATTATTCAAAGTTTACCAGTTTGAAAATATTAAAGGCACAGGACATCTTTTATTTAATATGTTCAGCTCTGATGTTTAGAACAATAATTTTGAATCTTCTTTACCCTCAAAAATAGCAATGAACTAATTAGGAAAAAAGCACAAGCTGGTTTCATACACTTTTCTAATAAGAGTTCGACTTGCTTGATAGCATTTTTACCCACTGATATTTGTATTTTCTTGCCATAATCAAAGCTGAGGTTTTTATTCCTACTCAGATTAAATATACATATGTATGTATGCGCACACACTCAGACACACATACACTGTCATTGTACACAGAATGAGAGAAAATTATGAGAAAGGATTGGAAAAAAAAACCCTCACTAGCAGGTGAAAATATTACTAGCCTGTATAGCACTAGATCTTTCCAATATACCATTAGACCCATAAGTACATTTTAGGGATTCTGCATTGCATGTAGAATTATGTTATTTTCCCTGAATTCCTAAGTAAGTTATAGAGATGGAAGCTTGCATTAAGACTGGGTTAATTTAGTTTGTAAAAGCAGCATATATACCCCATAAACATTTAAATAAGAGAGCATCTTTCAAGTGCTCTTAACTTCCATGACACCTGTTCATACTTATGCATTTAACAGTGTATAAAGAGTGCCTGTGGCAAATAGATTATAACTTTTTATAGTTGATAGGTTTTAAATGATGTTGTCATTTATCTAGACCTCAGTGTGAACCTTAGCAATATCATACAGGATTTTTCCCTTTAGAATCTGAAGGTAAGATATTCTTTAGGGGAGTAGGTACAGTATATCCTTTTAAGAGTGTTTTGAGCGACATTAGTAATGATTCTCTCTAGAATAATAAATACATTGGAGAATGGCACTGATAAAATGTATCAGAACAATGGGCATATTCATTAAATATATTATTTTAAAGTGGGGCCTGTCTTTGGGTCTGCTCCTTGATTCTGATATGGTCATGTGCTTGATAGTAATGTCATTATTTCTGATACGTTTGCTGGCTAAATACCAAATCTAATTTATCTTTCTTTACGCACATGGACCTTACAGTTACAGAACTTCCAGTTTTAATTAAACTGATTTTTTTAAAAAAAGATACAATGTGCATTATCCCGATTTTTTCAATTGGAAATCAGTTTTTATATTTACATGAATGTATCATGCATCACAACTATAGAACTCTTCTGGTTGTTGTCTATTACTGTTTGATCTAGATTAGGGTCAGTTAATAATTAAAATGTTTTTATAGAAATATTCCATAAACAATAACTGTTTTCAAATTGTTAAGTTTCCCATTTTCTGAAATTGTTGTTGGTGTCCCATTAATATTAAGAGCCCAACAGGCATTGAATGAATTCAAAATCCTGCATATCACTAGGGGTATTTTTTAATATTGTGACTAAATGAAGCAAAGTCTGGATGTGCTTTAAGTGAAATTTAAATTTCTACAATGTTAGAATTTTCATTTATTTGGGCAGTGCCTGAATAAGGAATATGCACTACATAATGTGCAAGTTACAGGATTATACATCAGGAAAACTATGACAAAGGAAAAATTGTAGCTATTAAGGAAAAGGTGAAAGTATATATATGATGATTTTTGTAACTAGTACCCTTTTTATGTATTAACCACGTTTATCAAATTAAGTTTCCTGATTGTCCCTCAGTGAATTATATTTACAGTACTCTTGCCACAAATATGGGGATGGGGTGGTGGAATCAGCACAAAGGGAGTGAGCACCAGCTTCTTCCTGTCAACTGAATTAATAGGTAAATCGAAAGAGCCAAGGAACAGCCTCTGCTTCCTTTCCTTTTTCTCTTCATTGAGATAAGAGAGCTGTCCTGTTATTCAGAGAAGGAAGTTGATGCTTTTCAGTGTTGATGCATCAGAATTCAATTGTGGATCTTCAACAGCTGCCCAAGAATGCTGGCCATTATGATTATAGACCTTTTAGAATTACTGTAATAATTTTGTAAAAACAACATCTGGAATATATAGTCAGTTGTAAAGTGCTTATCAGTAACCCTACTGCTCAGAAGTAACAACCATCAGAATGCATTAAAATGATTTTTGTATTTCCCAAGCCCCTAGTGGGCTTTTATGAACAGAATGCACATTGGAACAATTTTTTTTAAGGCTTTGATCATTTTTCTCTAACATGCTTATAAAACAGCATGGAAGGCACATTGCAAAACATTCCCTGAAAAAATGAAGGATATCATTCTTACAATTAGAATACTTTGGAAGACAAAAACGAATTATAAAGTTAGAATTTGGTTAACGCCAACAAAAGATCAATTTGGGGCAGGTGCATGATAATTTAATTCTTCTTTTGCACTGATATAAGATCTATTCATAAATAAGGGATATTTAATATCTGGTTTAATTCATGCATATCGTGAATAATTTTTACTTTGAATAGAAATTGTTTCTCAGAACAAAGGAAGAGTCTGGTGAGTCTATTGTTTCTTTTTCTGCTCCACAGAAGTTTATAATATATCATTACCACCATCATCCGACTCTTAAGAAATAATAAACCAACTACTATAGACTTTTAATGTTGTTAATCTGCGAGACAGAACAATTTCATTTGTTGCTTGAACAGAGGTTCAAGCAAGCACTGTGTTAAACTATATATGTAGTCAAGATTCTGATTCACTGTCAGCTCAGTGTCTACAAAATGTGCCTCCCTTTTCACTCCTATGTAAGGTAGTATATCTTACAAAGATATAACACTTGGCCTAGTTATCAAAAGCAAATAACAGTTTTCCCAATAGCCACATCAAATTCCCATAACATTTCTAATTAACATTCTTTTGCTGTTGAATTAGAGCTACAAATATATCCAAATAGTAGCTCTGTTTGAGCCCTTGTCTGGCAAAGGTGTCAGTACTATATGCTTCAGAGTTAATGGATAGTTTATAATTTGCTTGTTCTCTAATAGTCTGAAAGACAAAAGCAGTGCTTGTACTGCATTGTGTACAACAACATAGCAACAAATTAATATAAGATTAGACAATGTTCACTGTGCTTCACTATGCTGCAGAAAATGTCAGTAATATTAAGGAAATGGTCATATAAAAATAATAATTATCACATCTCTAAAGAGATGTTCAAAAATAATTTGATAAAAACATGTTAAAAATAAGTGATGGTAAATCCCTCCATTTTATTAATAGTATGGTTTCACAATTCATTACATAAATAATTAGGATTTATACATAGATGGTAAGAGCAATATATTTAGTTGGGAGATAATGTTTGTTTGATAACACATGATATAAACAACTGACAAGGTGCAGAAAAGATTTTACAGAACTGCTTTCATTTTTTTAAACATTGAAACCCAAACATAAATTAATGCAACAGCTATGTGTATATGTGTACACACAGAGACATGCACGCAGGTGCATTGGAAACATTGACATATTAGTGTTGATTTTTTTTGCTTAATTTTGAATGTTATAATCATATACATCACTTTAAATTCTTGGATGTTCTAAAACAAACACTCCTTACGTTTGTTTCATTTTTACATGATTGTGCATTCATAGTGTTTGCTTATGATTATGTGGAGCTTTCCTTGAAGTGCAGTTTCTTCATCAGTCTAGCAATGTGCTTCACTTACAAATGCCTCCCAAGTGTGCTTTAAAAATTCCATTTCTACCAAACAATATGTAAATAGCAGAAAGAAATGCTGTGCATGGGAGATACAAAAATGAACCAATCTACATTTCAACATTTTACGCAAAGCAAGAGTATATTAAACTAATACTAGCAATTTCTATTGGCTAGCGTCCATGTTCACAAGATTAGTCGGCTGATTTTTAAAATAATGATGTAGCCATAAACTATTCATTCTTTAATTGAACTCTTTTGTTTCCTTCCATCTCATTTTGAGAGTGGAATATTGGAAGGCATATTGGTAGATGTATAGAACTAAAAAGTATAAAAGGGGTTGTTTTTTCTCCTTAGAACTTGCTTCATAGTTAATTCTGAACAACAGTGATGGGTTTCCACATGGCATTAATAATCCATGAAAAATTATGTTCATGCCTTCTGATTAAGGTCACGGGGTAAATATTTCTGGAAATAGTGCAGATGGTTTGCAAACCAGAACTATGCTGTTAAAACAGAAGATCCAAATATTGCTTTTATGAAGAACAGTAAAAATGTATCTGTTTGAACCCTTTTTCTTTCCTGATAGTTAAATCAAGCCAAAGATGGAAGTCAGCTTAAATTGTTTTTCTGATCTGAACTCAACAGATATACAAATCATTTCTGGGGCTTTAACTGAAATAATGAAATTGCCTTCTATTAAGGGCCTTCGTTGTGCCTCTCTTCTCCATATCCTGGGAATGTTAAGAAACTGGAGGCAGCCTTTCGACCAATTGTTCTCTAGGCAGCTGGCCGTGTATAATGACACTCTTTTTCTGATGTGCTGAGCAAAGGGCTCAAGTTTAATGTCCTCTTTGCCTCTTGGTAGTAGCTTCCAAAGATGGCTGGTACCATCAATTTGTATTTCTTGAATAAAATATCTTCTCCTTTTCTGGTAAATCCTTTTTTGTACACTGTTTGTTGTGTGCCATGTATCTAAGAAGCATTCGTGTTCTACATATGGTTAGTAATGCAGTACACAATTTAAGTGACTAAAAAGAAAGTCAGAGGAATTACAGTGATGTGACACCTTCCTGTAGCTTTTATAAAATTAAAAAAAAATAACTTTATGCATGGGTTGTATGAACCTTTTTTAAGAAATTTTTTTTTTCATTAGCCCAAGAATAAATTCTTGCTCTCTGACCACAGCTTATATTCATGCTGTATCTCTGTCACGGCAGTAGTCCTGGCTACTGATTTAGACATCACTGAGCACAAATAGTTCTATTTGAACAATGAAATGAAAAGTATAAATGAAACTTTTTGATTTCAAAAAGGTAAGAATGTATATTATAGAATGCTATGTGTTAAAAAGAAAAACAAAATGCCTTTTAGTTATTTTGGGGAGGGCTAAGCAATAAAGCTAATACAGGATATGTCTTGTTTTAAAATACAAGTTCTGTGTTCTTTCTCTCTCAAACTAGAGCTAAATTATTTAGTGATTGTTTCTATCCTGCCTTGCTGGAGTCTAGGTCAGCAAATGCCCTTGTATATACAGTATTATTATAGCAAGGCACTGGTATGCCTAATTGAAAATTCTAAATCTGTTTAGAGCATTCAAAGTACTGGATACATAGTATCATTACTCCCTTATGTCATTTTTAGCTTCTACTCAAGAGTAGTAAGTTTATGAGTGGGAAGATTTTTGGTCCAAATGATCCCACAACCATTGATCATTTTTAGTCAGCAAATCCTTTGTTGCTAATTTGATTATAGAAGTGCCATGGTTATGTCCATGAATGAATATTTAATATATTTACCTTAAGATTTCTATTTTGCTTGCTTACTGTTGTTTTAGTCCACTTTCCTATTACCATCTTCCAAAACCTACCTTTTTCTCCTACGGATCATAAACCTATATCTGATGTTTTTTGGGTTTTATTTACCATGGTGTTTGTGAAATCCTTCTTAAAAATCACACATATGAAAAAGTAATAAAGAGTTCAAAAAGTGACACTGCATTTTTTTTTAGGTATGTCCCCATCTTTGGAAGAAAAAAAATTCAACTTTACTTCATATAAAAATGTGCCAAAAAGCCACAGCAGCTGCCAGCATGCATATTAATCAAAATGTATGTGAATTTCTAATGTTTTAGAAATATATTAAACATCTCAATGCAAAAATTCAGGACAAAGTTTCAATACTATGATGGAAATTCAGGCTGACCATGACATTCTTCCCCCAAACGAAATGTAATTCAATACTCTCTATTCTAATGAAATGGGAAAGTCCTTTTGCAATTAAAAAAAAAAACCCT